CTGGTTTTCTCCATTTAAAAATTGCAAATTCTCTGATAAAAATTATGAATTCTCCAATTAAAAGCCCCAAAATTTGTGTTTTTCAGTTATTAAAATGAAACACCACTATATATATAGTTATTAGTAGAACACAATGTTTTATTGATATATTTACACTTTTAAAGGAATCTGGAAGCCTACCAGTGCCTCACTCACTATAATAAAATAAATTCTAAATATCTATAAATTTTGGTGTTTGATTTTGGCATTTGATTTTGGGTTTTGTATCATGAAAAATCAGAGCCCACCCTGCCCCCTTAGGTTACCAGGATCTGGATCCAGCTGTGGCTGTTCCCGCCCCACCCCCCCGATTTGTGGTGCTGAGCAGCCCTGATATGCCAGTGCTCTGTTCATGCTATTGCCTCTCACTCCCAACCCACAGCCTCCCACCCCTGCCAGTGCCCCTCACTCCTCACCCACAGGCTTCTGGGCCTTGCCGGTGCCCTTCACTTTCCACCCGTAGCCCCCCACCCCCCAGCCCTGCCAGAGAAGGCCCCCAGCTGTCAGGGTTATGGGGCCAGGGACCAAGGTCTGCAGCCCCCTGCCCTTCCACAGCAGTGCCCAATCCCCAGCTGCCACCCATGGGAGGTGGTGGCTGCTGTGGCACAGTGTGGAGCCTGGCTCCCCCTCCCCTATGGGTGGCACAGCTGGAGAAGAGCCTGTGGAGTAGGTGGGAATGGGCTGCTCACTGCAGGCTCCCCACCCTTCTGCCCTTCCCCCAGGACCTCCACAGCTAAGCAGGGGTCCAGCACAGCAAGACTGGACAGGAAAGTTTGATGTCACTACCATGAGGCCTGCACCACCATGGCAAGGCATCCCCTGCCTTCCTGGCAGCAGCAAGGTGCACAGCTCTGTACCACTACCCCTGCTGCTGCCAGGTAGGCAGGAGGCACTTTGTCATAGTGGTACAGGGCTTGCAGCAGCGGCATCAAGCTTCCCTGTCTGGCCCTACTCCCTGATTCTGCCCTGCCATGCTTGGTCCCATGCACTGGGTTGCAGAGGCCCAGGGGGGAGAGCAATGGGGCGGAGAGCCCAAGTTCACAGTGGGCAGCCCACCCCTACCCTGCACACTAATCTGGGGAGCATGTGCCTCCCATGCCCTCTGGGAGTTCATGCAGCTGCAGGGAGCAAGCCCCCTCCTCTACCTCCTGGGCGAGCCACTCGTGGCCCCATCCCACTCCCTGCCCAGGCCCTGGGGCTGCGCGTTCTAGCCCCAGCCCCCAAGGCCCACGCACTGCCAGGACTGAGCAGCAGCCCCAGCCCTGCCCAACTCCATCCCTTACTGTAGGGACCTCATTTCCCTTCCCTGCCTCCCCCGCCAGCCCCCACACCAGACTTACCTACAGAGCGCTGCTCACCAGGCTTCCTGGTGGCTATGTGAATATGTACATGAGCACATGCACATGGCACTCAAGTCCTGAACGCCCACCTTCCACTCCCCACAGCACTCTGCAGGCTAGAACTTTGCTAGCGTGCAAAGGGAAACCCACCATTTCCTGTGTTTTTCTCCTTAAAATAAGATGATCAGGGCTTTTCTCCTTAAAATGAGAAAATCAGGGTTTTACTGTGTTTTTCCAGGGCAAATGGAAAACCCAGATCCAGGATTCCTGATCATCACCTCTGAGTCCATACACTTTCTAGCATACATCTTCAGATTCCTGGCAGAGTTCTAGGCTGAATTAAAGCAGGTGGCCAAAAAGCAACCCTGGAGTACTCCTGCTTATGATATAGCAGTGCATGCTAGAATATATAGTCACCATTGACCACATGTATACAGAGGTGGACAGCTGCAGTGCATTTGGTTTTGTGTACATAAAGTGTAACCCTGACTGATCTTTTGTGTCCCTGTGCAAAGGGAATTAAGAAAAAAAGAAACAGTGGCAATTTAGAAGATAGCAGTAATGACTGATGCTACCATTCCACTCTGAAGCTGTAATGTCCTGTGCTGTGATTGTAACCCTTTTGTTTGCATCTGACAGTGAGTCACCTGTATGGATTTGGACTGATGGATGCAGAAGCTATGGTGATAGAAGCAGAAAAGTGGACAAGAGTCCCCCAGCAGCACGTCTGTGTGGAGAACATAGATCGACAAATCAAGTAATACATGTTGCAGGCACTTGCTGGCATAATTACCTGTAAAGGAGTTGCTGTAATCCTTTCCTTGTACTATGTTGGATTTGACCATTAGAAAGCTCTACTGCACTTAATACCTTGCATTTGGGGCAGATGGCTTGTCTCAAGGTGTTGGGAATGTGGAAAAGAGCTTCTGGTGTTCAGTACAGGTGAAGAGTGACTAAATGTTTTAATCAGAAAACTGGTTGCAGAATTTACACAGTCACTTATATAACACGGTTTCTGGTTTCAGTTCTGTATCTAGTAAATGGATGTCCTCATCGTAATCCCATATCATAATCTTTCTTCACTGGCAGTCTCAGAAGAGAATTTAACTAAATGGGCATGAAGATTAAACTACTTTCTCCAAACAACAATGTAATCTCTACAGAACAGCATTCAAGCACATTGGCAGAGCAGTGCAGGGAGAAGTTTGCTCTATGTGCCCAGTCTGTTCTCTGAATACAAAGAGGACATCAATCTCGAGTCACATTTCCAAGCATTAAATGCACTACCAAAAAGTTTTAATTGATATAGGTAATTAATGTGCTGGATTGCTAAGTAGGATCCAACATATTTAGGAGAGCTGTGCTAGTTTAGACCATTTCAGGATGTGGTTTACTCTTTGTTACATTTAATATATAATAGTTACTACCACAGTAGAGATGCCAGACATTTCCTGGGAATTAAGCTGAGGTCTGTTGTACTATCAAGTCTCAGCTAGCCATTAGGCCACAAGAAATGCTGTGTTCCAGGTACTTAATGCTATAGGTTTTCCTTTGTTTTTGAACATGTGCTAGTATCATTGTTGCTCTGACTGGTTAGCCATACGAATTCTAATGATTGCAATAAAACAGCTAACTATGGTTCATTGTTAAAACTAAGAATGCTTTAAGACAATGATCAAACCTACTGATGTAGGTTAGTGATATCTCAAGAACAGTGTTCTGACACTGGAGTACAAAGGCTGCACAATGACAGTTTGGCTGAAATTCTTCAAGAGCTGAACCTGAAATAAGTATATTGCTTTTATGTGTTTATGTTATAGAACAATACGGCCTGAACATCATGTCCGCTCAATCTACAAAGCCACCGGCTGTGCAGATAACCCCAATCATCATGTGATATATCTAGAGCATGTGGTTGTGCGCATCACTATTACCCATCCTCGCCGTGGAGACTTGGCAATCTATTTAACATCTCCATCTGGAACAAGGTCGCAGCTATTGGCTAACAGGTACAGTAACACTGAGCAGCTTTGCAATCAAGTCAGAGCCAAGAGCCTGGAGTGAGATTACAGTTTAAAGAGGAGTCAAGCCATCACAGTAGGTGTGTTAACAGTCACAGCCACCTAATTATTTTTCTAGGAGAGAGGATGGAAAATGAACTAGAAATTAGCTGTGAGGATTGCGATCATTATCGGTATCTGGAGAGGGCAAGAGTAAAGCTGTTGGAAAACTATCATCTTTAAAAGAAGCAGCAGTAGATTTTGAGAGAATCCCTTCTGTCACTCCGTCAGCCCTGAGATCAGCAAGGGATACAAATGAAAAGATGACGGGCTGAGTGTTATAAAAGGGCAGCTGAATGGAAAAAAGACTCCATAGACAATTAATACTTTCTCTTTCCAACTTCCCCTGTTCTCAACACTTTTTCTTTAATAACAGAACTGATATGGAATAGCCTAATTCCTCTGTAATTATTTTCATCAACAGGTACCCTTATATTTTTTCTTTTTTGTCAGATGTAAAAGTAATGTCCTCCAGCCAGGAAAGGTTCTGGACAGGATAAAAAGGAATACATTTTGGTTTGTTAAGGGCAAGAATGCAGTATTGATTTTAAGGCAGTGTTGACACTCATGATATTTTCTAATAGGCAGTTATGAGGCAGACCCACTCACAGATCCTGTGGTTGTGATAGAAACCTGCTGTTTGTCTCAAGGCCCCCATCATCAGAGACTGGCAAGGTTTAGTGTTCTCTCCTTTTTTCTCCCTCCCACCCTCCCCCTGCTTGGAGAGGATGGGAGATGTGCTGCATTTATCCAGATCAGACTCAGCTGAGTATCTTTCTCTGAAAGCAAAGCCTCCAGCGTAGGTATGTCCCAATTCCAGAAGTGATGCACAGCATTATTATCTACTCTCAGCCTCCACCAACTGATGAAAGAGCAGTTGGCACAGGTAGAACGAAAAAAACAACAATACCATTGGTAGGAAGGGAAAAATCCTTGAGGAACCTGCCAGCACTCTGTCTTCATCAAAACTGTAACCAGTAGTCAGTGATGAAGGGCCATAAATTCTCATCCAACCACCGACTGTCAAACTGGTGAGAAGCTTCAAGGTCCTCCTCAAACTCCTTGCTGTTCCCAAACATGCCATAGCCACAGTGGCAAGGAGTGCTGACTTACATTTCCAACTAACCAGTACACTGTGACATTTCCTCTCGGGAAGAAATGGACCTGTTATAATAAATCCTTTTCTCTTGATGTCCTGCCACTCAAGGCTACTGCCATTCTCCATAGGGTTGAAAACACAACGGTTAAAGCTAAAGCAGCAAACACAAGCTGACACTGGCACACTAGACCTGTGCTCTGTGAATTATCTTGGTTCCCTCTTCATTTCAGAACAAAAAATTAAGTGCCTAATCCTTGTCTTCAAGCTTGTTAACAAATTGAAGTGTCTCATTTAGAAGCTGCATCATCCTCCTGATACTCCATAACTGCAGAGCTACACCAGGATGATGCAGCTGTATAGATCCAACTGTCAGACATGGGTGGCAGAGTGCCCTCCATGGCAGGACTTTAGCTGTAGAACTCATTAGAAGAGACAGACTGAGCCCACCTGCTCAGACAAAATGTAAAACTGACCTTCTTATTAAACTCTTT